TAATAATAATAATAATAATAATAATAATAATAATAATAATAATAATATGCAGGGAAAGAGCCCAAAAGTACATCGTCCTCAACTTATGCCCAAAATTTCCATGGCTGAGACGGTTGCTAAGTGAACCTCCCCCAGTTCGTGATGTTTCTCCACAGGATTGTTCAGCCAGTCGCTCTTTTCAATGCCGCGGCCACTTCTTAAGCCCAGCCACCCATTCCATGCGTTCCTACCCGCGTTTTCGTCTTCTTACCTGGCAATATGGGCAGTCCTGGACTTACGGCCGCAGTCGGGACCAGGATTCCTGTTGGTAAGCAAGGCGTACATTATTTTAACCCCTCTTCTCCCCCCGCTTGCCTTTCGCCAGTGACGTGGACCACCAGAACGCCGACTGGGTCAGCGTCCACACCAAGATCTGCCAGCTGCTCATCCCGCTGCGGGCGGCTCCCCCCTTCTACACCTCGGAGAAGGAGCGGAAACTCGGGGAGGAGCAGAGGCGGAACCGAGAGGTAGGCCAGGTGGTCCTCCACCTACAACCACGGGAGAGCAGAATTTGCTAAGCAAGGCAGTTCTCAAATGAGCTTTGGCCCATTGTACAACCTTTCTTGTTGCAGCTGTCAAAAGAGGACCCCGTGACCCCCCCCCCCCCCCCCCGGGACACTGTGACCCTCATAAATACAAGGCAGTCGCCAGGCGCCTGAATTTTGATTATGGGATCACAGGGATGCTTGCAAGGTGTCGAGGGTGAAAAATGGTCCCTTTTTTAAGGGCCGTTGTAACTTCCAAATGGTCACTAAACAAATGGCTTTAAGTCGAGGACCACATGTACCACGCCTCTTTCCTCAAAACCTACTAGAAGAAAATAACAACAATCGACCCCCCCCTCCCCCCCAGATATTCCTGGCTGAAGTGACTTACGAGACGGCCCAGAATTTTCTCATCAGGGGCCACTACGAAGATGCCATCCCAGCCGCCCTGCACTCCCTGAAATTCAGCCTCAGCATCTATGGCCCCAGTGCGGTGGAGCTGGTTCCCGCCTACATCATCTTAGCCGAGACCAGCTTGGGTGAGTTCCGGGGGGGGGGAGAGGGATTAGGGGAGGAGGCCTCAACTTATGACCAACCGTTTTTTGAACGACAGCTTGAAATTGACAACCGGCTCAGAAAAATTGAGTTATGACTCATCTTCAAAGATACTATTGTTGCAGCAAACTGTAGTTGTATGATTGCGAAGTGGGTGCTTGTCTGTCTGCCTTCCTGTCTTCCTATCTTGCTATCCTGTCTGTCTGTCTATCTATCTCCATCTTCTCTATCTATATATCCATCAATCTCTATATCATCCGTCACATCGTATCGTATCTGTCATATCCACCCCTCTATTAAATTGCTGCCTATCTTATTTAAAAGTGACCGTAAGCTTATGGCCTGATTTGTGATCTTTCCAGCTGGCTTCTGCCAAGCAAAGTCAATGGGGCAAGCTGGATGTGTTTAAGAACCACAGTAAAGATGGTTGCAAAATTGGGTCCGGTCACGTGACGCCTCGCTTTATGAACAACTTCACTGTTCTTTTCTGAACCGAGTCAGGAATAGCGCTCCCAAAGTGGTTTTGGATCTGAGGTTTGCGCCTGCAGCAGGCATTCTGTCTCTGCACAGACCAAGATTCCTCGCTGGCTTCCTTTCCTTGCGTAACGTGGCTGTGTCCTGTTGGTTTTCCCAGGCCTGGGTCACTTGTCGCAAGGTGAAGAGTACCTCTCCCAGGGCCAGTGGATCGTCCTCAAGAACACCCACTGCAGCTACGCCGTTCAGTCCAAGCTGTATCGCAACCTCGGGCTCCTGCACGCCGCCAAAGGGAACTTCGATGAGTCTTTGTACCACCTGGCCAATGATGTGAGGCTCAGCAGGCAGAGGCACCCGTTGGGGGTCTTTCTCTTTTCCTTGGGGGGGGCGCTTCAGAAGGCGCGGCCACCCCGGGAGGGAGGAGGGGGTCACGGTCTGACCCAGGGGGAGTCGAAAAGGCAGAGTCGTTTCTTGATTAATTAAAACCAGACTCAGAGGGACTGAAATCCTTCCCAGTTATGAAAGCGCTGTGAGGGCCTGGGCTGAGTCCCGGGTCAACCACAGAGTGGGTTGGCGTAACATGGAGAGGTTATGGAGAACTTCCTGCCTTCCCAACTTGATTGGAATCAGATGGGAACTTCAGTTTAACTCCAGGGACTGAACACAGTCTGAGAGCAGCCTCCTCAACCGACCAGGGAGTATCGAGGGAAGAGAACGTTTGTGGCTCAGGGTGAACCAGTGGGGCCCTGGGGGCTCTCTTGGCAGATGTCTCAGGGCCCAACTACGTAACCTTATCAGTGCTAGAAGGGAATGGGGTTTGCGGAGGGGGAGGAGGAGAAGAAAGGCTGCGGGGTCCTTGGATCTCTGAGCTTGGTGGTTTTCTTGCCAATGTTTCACTACCAAACTACCCCCCTCCCCTCTCCCCAAACCGCCTTTCCCGCCAGCTTCCACCAAGGGGCCTTACTGTGCGTCCCTCTCAATTCCTCCCCAATGGATTCCACCGCAGGTATATTTTGCGTGTTGTGCTTTTGGGACAACGAGCAACGTGGCCGTCTCCGGAGGCTACTTCCACATGGCCAACGTGTTCTCCCACCAGAATAAGATGGACGTTGTGGATTCCTTGTATTGTGAGGTCAGTGGACACACACACACACACACACACACACCCCTCCCCACAGGGAGTTTAGATGCAAGTGAGAATGAGTTCTCAGGCAGTAAAAATAGTTAAAAGATTTAAGGGTTTACCCCCCCCCCCAAAATGTTAGGCTCATGCTACCCAGCCCCCTTGATTAAATTCAAATAACCCTCCTCATTGTTGTTATTATTATTATTGGAGCTTCCGCGTTTCCCCCCCTCAGGTGGTCGATCTCTGGTACGATCACTTCAGCCACTTCGTTGAAATCCAGTACCAAAAACTGATCACTCCCGCAGAGGTGGACCTTCTGTCTGTAGAAGACGGGATAGAAGAGGACGTACTGGGTAAGGAGAGGCGCCCCCCCCCTCCCCCTCCCCCTGAGTCCCTCCCCCCCTTCCCCACAGTTGAGACTCTCCCTCCTCTTCCTCCAGATGAGAAGCAGCAGGCCGAAGCGATGCAGATGCTGAACTCCATCTTGCATTTCCGAGAAGCGTCTCTCAGGCCGCAGCTAGAGAAGGAGGCCAAACTGCTGCACGCATTGGCCATGTTTCATTTCTTGGTCCACAATCTGGCAAAGGTAATTGGAAAAAAAATGCAAGCTTTGTAAAGCTTGAAGAGGGGGGGAGGTGCTGGAAGGCAAAAGTCACAGCCCAGGCCAAGAAAAGAACAGAACGTTGTAAGGGTCATTGAAGGTCTTCTACTCCAATTAGCCCCCTGCTCAAGCAGGAGACCTTAGGCCGTTCTGGGCAAATGGCTGCCCGAGGTCTCCTTCAAAGCCTCCCGTGAGGGGGCCCCGCTTGCAACTTCTGGAGGGGAGCAGTTCCCCTGGTTTATGGTCCTCACTGTCAGGAAGCTCCTCCTGAATTCTACGTGGCTTCTGTCCTCTGGGGCTTTGGAGGATGGGTCAACCCCTTCTTCTTTCTTCTTTCTTCTTCTTTCTTCTTCTTTCTTCTTCTTCTTCTTCTACTTCTTCTTCTTCTTCTTCTTCTTCTTCTTCTTCTTCTTCTTCTTCTCCTTCTTCTCCTTCTTCTCCTTCTCCTTCTTCTTCTTCTTCTTCTTCTTCTTCCCTCAAATATGGGAAGGCTGCTCTCCTGTCACCCCTGACCCTCCTCCTCCTCCTCTCTAGACAAGGCAGACCAAAGAACACGAGGAAACATCTTACATCCACCCTTCCCTTAGTCTACACAAAGAAAGGCAGCGAGCATATTTGAACTTGCGAGGGGGAAAAAAACCCAGCGGTGGTTTTGCTTTTGTTTTCCTCTCTTTCTGACAAGGGCTTCACTTTATTTGCCCTCTTCTTTCTTCTCCCCCTTCTCAACGTGCCTCGCTCCAGGCGGACGAATTTGTGATGAGATTTCTACAAACCACACAGTCACTGCCCAAACGCGACCCGAACGAATCGCTCTACCACCTGGTCAAACTGATCAAGTCCAAGGAAGAGCAGGCCAAGTAGCTCTTCCCGGCTCCCTCAAGGTAAGCAGCCACCAGCCGCCGCTCATCTCGGGCCTCCTTTTGCCACCCGTCTTTCCGGTTCTGACGAAAAGGGTCTGCCTGACGTCTCTGTGGGATGACAATGGCCGGAGGACTCTTGCACAACCCTGCTGGGAGGCAAGATCCGGGTGACCTGCAAGGGAGCAGGGACAGGTAACCGTGAAAGTGTGGAAAGGGCACCTGTCCCTTCTCCACCCTTGGGACGGTGGCAGCATCCCCGGGGTCACGTGATCAACGTCCAGGGAGAGGCCAGATTCACTTAAGAACCACGTGGTTCCCTTAACCAAAGTGGCAAGAAGAGTCGTGAAATGGGACAAAACTCACTTAGCAAATGTTTCATAAATCGTGGGCTCCATTGGGGTCGTCAGCCGAGGGACCACCTGTATGTCCCAAGGGGTGGCCAGCAGGTTAGCTGCTTGGTTCGCACGTCCTGCAGAACCCAGGTCTGTGTAGCCAGAGTTGGCCGTAGTTGCCCCAGACACGGCAAACCATAAACCTCTCTGGGTCTGAACGAAAGGGCCCAATTGTCAAAGCCTGAGAGGTAATGATTATTTTTTTAATTTCTCTCTCTGTTTATCTTTATTTTCTCACCTGCCTCTCCTTGATTCCTTGGCCTTATGCTTCAAGGGTGCTTGAGTAAAAAAATGGAGCCGAGAGAAACAATGATAGAAACGGAGCCCTGTGGAGGAGAGTCGAAGCCGCCTTGGGAAGAGGAGAATCGGGGGCGGGGGGGGGGGGGGAGACGGAAGCCATTTCTGGAGAGAGCCCCATTGCTATTATTATCCCAGTGGCAGGACTTTTTCACATTTATTTTGGTTTGAGGCCGGGATGAGTCCCCAGAGAGCAGCCAAAGGCGTGGATGGACCCATCTAGGAGGCTGTTTCGCACCCTGTGGGGAGGGGGCTGTACACATGCACCATCCAAAGACACCCCCCCCCCCATGGACTTATTTGGCTGCAGGAGGTGCCTGCTACTTCTGATTATTCGTTAAATCCTCGCTTTTATTGTTCGTGCCATTTCAAACTGACCCAGATGAATGTGGTGCCTCCGGGCGTTTCTCAGAGGGTTGGGTGCAGCTGGAGCGGAGGTGCGGGTGGGCGCAGGCTTTCCGGCCCTGTTGATCAGGGGAGGGGGGCTCTCTGGCCTCTTTTCCGGGCGGGGGGGGGGGGGGGGGGAGGCTAAGACCCAGCAGAGAAGTTTGAGGAACCAAGTCAAGTCCTTCAGTGGGCAGTTCTCCCCTAACCACCACCACCCTCCTCCTGCTGCTACTTAAAAAGAAGTTTAGGAAACCAGCAGCCTCTAAGAACCTGTGGAGGGGGGGGAAGAATCACCACCAGGAGATCCCTCCTCCCCCGAGTCTTGCGGGCACGGCTGCTTTTCTAAATTTCCTTTTAAGCAGCGGGGAAACCGCTCCTTTCTCTCTTCTCCATTCCTGCTCTCCTCCTCCTCGAGGACTTGGCCTCCCCCCAAACATCCTGAGTGACTGTCCGGGATCGGGGTGCAGCAACCGCTTCCCAGAATCCCCTCGTGTCCCTTCCGGCTTTCCTTCTCTCCCTTCCCCTTTGGCGCTTCAGAAAAGAGCCCCCCCCCCCCCCCCCCGTCCTCGACCTCACACAGTAACACAGCAGAACACAAAAGTTAGCATTTAAAAAAAAACCCAAAAACCCTAGAAATGTAATTCTTTTATTCAAGTGCGGTTACGTGGATGCCTTCGGTTTACAAACAAATAAATAAAATATACATATATTATTAAATAGGCGCATTTAATTGTCTTGCTTCAGGATTTTTCTTTCTTTTTGCAAACCTGTCGAGGACTAGCAAACACAAAACAGGAAAGGCCTTTTTTTATATTTTTTAAAACCAGATTGGCTGACTAGACTAAAGAAAAACCTAACATTATCAGTGCAACGAGTTCTGCTACAGTGCAGGTGAGATATACTCTATATAAAAAAATAAGTTTATCGCAGTCAAATACAGCTTTTAATGACAGCTAGAGAAACTAGAACTATTCAAGAATACAGTATTTGCAGGAAATACACTATTGGAAACAATGCTATAACTTATCACCCTGCCTACGTGAGACAGGAACCAAAAAACATATATACATACATAATAATATAAATATTTTTCAGTCTAGAAATGCTAGGAAAAAGGGTGCAGCTATTCTCGTGGGGGGGGGGGAGAGGGGGGGTTGGAATGGGGTGTTGAGTGAGTTCAGTTGCCGAAGACCAAGAGACGACAGAACTGCGTCTTCCTCAACTCTTCTGCAGAGTGGGGGCAAGGAGGTGGATGGGGAGCCGGGAAAGGAGGTGGGTGGGTGACATTCTTGCCCCAGTGTAGGACGTCCGGAGTTGTTTGTTGGCTTTTGGGGGTCAATTTCCAGGGCAGAGAGATCTCCTTTCTCTTCAGAGGCCGTCAGTTGGGGCCGTCTTCGGCCAAGCTGGGGAAATGTCCTTTTTTTGAACCCAGGACCACCCGCCCTGCACCTGGCGGAGTCTGGACTTAGACCAACCTCACCCTTGGCAGGAATCTGAGGGAAAGTCTTCCTGAAAGGGGAAGAATTTCTCTCTCTCTCTCTCTCTCTCTCTTCCTCGCCCTCTTTCCCTCCCCCCCCCATCCAGGGGATTTCGACACCCCCCCCCACAGCAAGGGTGGGCCAGGTGTGGGAGGTCCACCTCGCAGGCTCCTCTCAAGCACTTGAACCAGCACCGTCTGCCTTCAGCCGCTCGAGCTGAGGAATGCCAAAACCTCCCCACCCACCCCACAGGTCAGGACAGCTACCGCTCACCCCAAAGGTTAGCCGGGCGCAGCTCTGCCGGGAGATCCATCGTCTTCCCTTCCCAAACTCCCTCAGTTCTTTCGCTCTGGAGGGTGGACCCTTGGGCAGAGGGAAGGGGCAGCCAAGAACTTGGTTCCTGCCAAAAACAATTTTCTCTTGACCGTTAGATAATAACAACCTCCGTAAGCTGGGGGGGGGGGGGGGGGGGGGGAAACCCGGGGCCTAAAGCGGGGGGGGGGGGTGGGGCGGGTGTGTGTGTTGCACTTTCTCAGTCCCCCCACCTGTAAAAAAAACCAAAAAAAAACAAAAACCCCACACCATCCCTCTGAGGATGTGACTGGCACTCCCCAAAGAAGGTCCCTGCCTTCGCTCAGTTCTTCTCCCCAACTTTTCAAACGCCGGCCTGGAGAACCCATCCAATCCCCCCCCCCGACCCCCAGTTCCTTTCAGAAGTTCCACTCTCCACTCACACCCCCCCCCCGGCCCATCTCGCATTTAACCTGCGTTCAACGTTCTGCCTCTGGCAACGCAAGGGGCTTTTTGGGTGGGGGAGGGCGAAGGTGAGGTGCTTTTTCTCCTTTATAAAACAAAGAGGAAAAAAGAGTAGAGCCAGGACTGGGGGGGGGGGGGGGGCAGAAGTGCCATCTCCTCAAGGATGAGGCCACGGAGGGGAACCGGTGCTTCTGAACGCTTTTGGCAACGTTGAAATCCTGGACTCAAGACCAGCAGCTGAGGGTTCTTTTCCTAGAGAGCTACAAGGCGGGTTCGTTGCCCAGAGACCAGGCCGTGGGGCTGGAGTCAGGACCCAAATACGTCTCTTCGCCCCGGGCCTGGCCTGGTAACAAGCATGTGGAGAGGAGGACGGGCAGGACGACGAGAGTGAGGTGGAGGAGATGCCTGCCCACCTCCTGGACTTTAGACCTGGGAGTCGGCGCCCAAGCTGTGGAACTCATCCAGGGCCTTGTCTCCATGGGCGGCATCCCCTTGGCGGAACGCGGAGGCGATCTCGTCAAAGGTTCGGCCCTTGGTCTCGGGCACCTTGAAGTAGGTGAAGATGAAGAAGAGGATCAGCAAGATGGTGAAGATGATGAAGACGTAGGGCCCACAGAAGTCCTGCAAGAGAAGAAGAGGAGGGAGGGGCATCATGGCTCTGCTTCATGTCGAGTCAGAGGGAAGCTAGCTAGGGATGACTCTACCCACCACCGCCAAGTCAAGAAGGTTGGGTGGACAACCTCCTCTTGAGAGCAACTAACCAGTGGGACCGCTTGCCTCCAACGCTGGAGGTTTTTAAAAAAGAGATTGGATAGCCATTTGTCCGAAATGGAATAGACTCTCCTGCTTGAGCAGGGGATTGGACTAGAAGACCTCCAGGGTCCCTTCCCTTATTCTATTACTCTTCCAGACGTAAAAGCAGCCACTGAGTTCCTCAAGATCGAAGAGAGGGCAGTTGGGTAGCTAGAGTGTCCCACTTTCAGAAGTGTACTGAAGTAGCAGGTCTACCCAGCCATCCTTGGTGGCTCTACTTCTCTCAAGAAGGATGGAGTAACATAGAAGGAAGATGTCAAACTGGGAAGAGCCGAAGGAAGCTTAGATGCCTCAAAATGCCCTCCCGCTTCTTGGTCGCTTTGCCACAGACCGACCCCTGGGAATTAACCACGTTTATGATGCCCCTCTCCGATGCCCTCCAGCGCTCCACACTCACCGCCACATACTGAAAGCCCATCCCTACAATGAAGTTGGCGGTCCAATTGGACAGCCCTGCAACAGCGATGGCAGCAGGACGCGGGCCTTGGCTGAACAGCTCCGCCACAATGAACCAAGGAATGGGCCCAGGACCGATTTCGAAAAATGCCACGAAGCCCATGATGGCAACGATGCTGATATAGGACATCCATGGCACTTGAATCTAGCAGAGGAAGAAAAAGCAAAATAGAATCAGGGAAAGAACCTTTAATTGTATTTCCCATCAGTTTTGGTGGCATTCCAGAGGGTTCCCGCCCTCAGATCTTAGCTTCTTCAGAGACAAATTCCTTGTGTGACCAATCCCATTTGGCCAATAAAGAATTCTATTCTATCCTATCCTATCCTCTATCCTCTATTCTCTATCCTCTATTCTATCTCATAATTTCCTGGGAAAGGTTCAATTCCTGTGCCAAGAATCGGCCATATGGGATGGTTAGTGAAAACATCAGGATCCTCATTTGCCATCCATCCTCTGGGACCCCTGATGGATCCATGTTTGCCACTCACCAGCAGTGCCAGGGCGATGGTCATGAGAACCGCGCATATGGCCATCCCCAAGAGTCCGATGAGGTGCAGTGTCCTTCGGCCAGCCCGTTCTACCACAAACAGCTTCAGAGAGAGAGAGAGAGAGAGAACAAGGGAGATACATCAGCATGGAATCCATGGAAGGTCCCTCCTCAAAATCATCAAAAGAACTTCGGGGAGACCACGCAGAGGGGTCAGATGTCGTGGCCCTGGGTGAGTCGTTGACCTTGCCATGTACGAATCAACTTTGAGGAAGTGGCTGTTCATTCAGATTGACCTTTATTCATCTGCACAATTATATTCCGTGGACCTAGCACCCCTCTGCAGGTCACCTGAAAGGTTCTGGCTGAAGAAGCTTCTTGGATGAGAAGCGAAACGTCTTCAGGGGAAGACAAAGGTTGCCTTTGGGACAGCCCTAACCAAGCAAGAAATCGCCCTACTCACCGAGACAACTGTGAAGGCTGTGTTGACAACTCCAGCCCCAATAGTGGCGTAGACAGGTTGCTGCACTCCAGCTTTTTGAAAGATACTTGTGGAGTAGTAGAACACCTTGGAGAAGGGAGAGAAGGAGAAGAAGGTCAACACAATTGGGCTTGAAGAGCACTCGGTGGCATTGTTGGGGCGTTGGTGGAGAAAGGGTGCTGTCTAGATGCAATGAGGAACATACTGTCCTACTCAACGGGGTCAAAACCAGCCCAACATTTCACCTCCGTTTCTCCCCAACCCCATATTTTTACCGCGTTGATCCCCGAAAGTTGTTGAGAGAGCTGCAGTATGATGGCAATCAAGAGGGGCTGGCGGTAGATAGGAGAGCGGAAGAGTTCGAAGATGGTGACCTTCTTCTCCTGAAGCATTTGCCGGCTCTCCTCTTTCATCTCCTGAAGGTCTCTGCTGACATCGGTTGTCCCACGGAGCTTCTTTAGGACTTGAGAGAAAAAC